CCCCAGACAGCCTGTTGCTTGGCAACGGGCTCAGAAGCAAAACAGCCAAGGGGGCTGGGACAGAGTTATGAACAGGCTAGAATGCCAGTCAGCTCCAGCTGAAGCTGAGTGGTTTGTTTGCTAGCGAATATGACCGACCCTGACCCCTGAACCACACCCCGGAGGGACCAGTGGGCCGCCTTCTGGAAACCAATGACACCACACCCCTTCTATATAGGAGGGGACAACAACTTGTCCTCCCCAGAATAGATGCAGAGCCGCTTTTCATGTCTGAGTTGCCACTGCCAGCACCACCATCTGCAGGCTTCCAGCACACTTCAGATTCTGCAACTGGGTCTGGGGAATGGGCCCTCCAGCCCAGAAGCCACTCATGGTAAAAGCAGTGAGACAGGAGTCTGGTCCAGGGCTCACAGGCACCATTGGCCCCTACCTCCATTGGACCCCAAGAAAAACAGAAGTACCCAGGGTGCACCTTCCACGACAGAGCCAGCAAGGTGCTCTCTGGACCAGGGACAAATATATACTGCTGACTCAACTTTGGCAAGAAAACACAGGCCCAGGAACCAAGTACAGTGGGCACAGGATCTAAAGAACATAAAGAGCGTTTCAAAAAATTTCTTCCAGTCCCCACGGCTTTAAGGGTATCTGGTGAGGACTTGACCAGGGTCCATGGTACAGTTCCTGCAACCTGGAAGCTGAGAACACTGCTTGGCTTTTCTTGCCTCCTTATGCCACAGGGGGATCAGGAAGAAAAAGGGGTCCTTGTGTTAGTGGAAGAGTGTATGATCAAGCCTGAGCAAGCTCTGTCACTTACTTCACCTCTGTGCCTCTGGCTCCTCATCTGTAAAATGGGGATGGACACCTAAACGGTGCCTGGCACATTGTAGGCACACCATAAGTGTGAACCATGATTACTATTGTTAGGATTATTTGCCAGTCTGACTATGAAGGGGACATGGAGTGCCAGTAAACATTGGAAACTAGAAGATGTAGGGGTTTAGCCTGGGGATCCCCTGGGGCCCCTCCTTGTACTCCAGTGTCTGGTAGTAAAGGTTAACAGACAACCACTGCATCCTATACAGAACGGACCTCCCTGCCAAAGTCCAGCACCTGTAGGGATGGAGGTCAGCATTGCTCCAATAGGAAAAGACCTCAGCCAGCTAAGATCAACCTGAAGGTGAAGGGCTTGAGAAAGGGCATGAAGCTTCTCTCATCACGTGGCTCCACCAACCAGTTCCTGGCCAGTCATGTAAGACCTCAGCTCTGAGGCTTCCTCTCTAGCCCCAGGCCCATGCTCATCCAGGATCCTGTGTCCTTGAGGGTGGTCCATGTGCTGGGCCCACCAACCCCCCAAGACTTCTCCTCCAGCCCATTTCTGCCTCCACCTCCTGCAACACCCAGGTCCCTGAGACCAGCTAGGGATGCCTGGTGGGGCCCTGCTACCTCCTGAGCAAGGCACTCCCTGTGCTTCATGGCCTGGCTCTGCTACTTCTCTTCATCATCACTTCACCACCATCCTCTCTCCATGGCAGCCCAGATCATTTTCTGAGTTTCCAGAATCTGTCATGCCCCCTTTCTCCTGTGTCCCTCTGTGTGTGCTGTGCACTCTGTCTAGAATACCCAGCCCGGCCTTCCCCTGACTCTCTCTGATCTATCCTATGAAAGTCAGCTCTGTGTGAATCAGGGGTCCCTCCATGGTCCCACTGCATGCTAGGGTCACCTTCATCATAATTCTGACTATACCAGAATGCTCTTAGCATTCCCCCTCAGCATCTTGAAGGACACGCCCATGTCTGCAACCTCCAGCACCTGCAAAGTGCCTGGTGCAGAACACAGCCCTGAAAGGACTCAAAGAACCTTGCCTCCTCTCTCGCCCTTATGTAGCCAGGGCCCAGTGAGGGCTGACCACAGAAGCGCTCACCACAAACTCCCAGACTAAAACACAGTGAAGATTGAGAGCAGCTTCCTTTGTTAAAAGACAGCAAACTGTTAGATTTCAAAAATAACTTAAGACGAAATTTCTTTTTTATTCTCAAGCAAGAAGCCAGACATTGCCAAGTCTATTTAGAAGGTTCATCAAGAGGCTGCTAACCCACCCAGTGGTCCTGCAACCAGCATGGACTTCATTTGGGGGCATGCAAACTGGGGATCCCTGAGTCTGAGGGGTTGCTAGCCAAGGTCAGGGTCTCTTCCGAGAGGGGGTAGAAGGCTCTCCAGGGCGCATGAAGGAGGCTGACCTCCCAAGGCCTGACCTCCTCTCCAGCTCGATCTCTGCCTGTCAGCCCCCCATCCTTGCCGCCTGCTTGTAGGGACTCCTTTGGAGGGGGTAGAAGGCTCTCCAGGGCGCATGAAGGAGGCTGACCTCCCAAGGCCTGACCTCCGCTCCAGCTCGATCTCTGCCTGTCAGCCCCCCATCCTTGCCGCCTGCTTGTAGGGACTCCTTTTAATTAATGCCAGAGCTGGGCCAACCACTGGGGCCATGACACTTGTTTGCAGGTCATCTCCTCCTAACAGGCTCGCCCTGGGAGGGGATTTGTCACTAATTGAAGCAGAGATCAGTTAATGAGGCTGTGGGGCCCGGAGTTCCAGAGAACAAGGGAAAGGAAAATAAAATAAAGCCTCTGTCTTTGGAGGTTTTGTGATTTATACACACAAAAGAAAAGCAAGTAAGCTGCAGATTTTCCAAGTCAGAAACTCTGCTCCATCTGCCAGAGTTAGACCCTCACTGTGTGAAGACGTCAGGCAGAGGGCTGCCGCTGCCACTGGGACTCATGGATGGGAGGGGTGGGGCCTCGGAGGCCAGCGGTCAACAACCTAATTAATAAGTATTTATGAAGAGTGCTCTGCACCCCCCTCTGTGGGGGAGAAGACACTGGCCTGTCCCTGGTTAACTTGTAATCCAGCCGGAAGACAGGGCTCAGACTATAGAACAAAGAGAGGAAGGGGACATGGGAGTAACTGAGTGAGAGTATGTGGGAAATACAGAAGTTTCTAGGACTTGGGGATGGGAGAGAGAAGTGTGGGCTGGATGGTCAGGGAAAGCCTCGAGGGGGCTCTGGAGCTAGGCAGGGAGGAGGATAGAACAAAGAGAGGAAGGGGACATGGGAGTAACTGAGTGAGAGTATGTGGGAAATACAGAAGTTTCTAGGACTTGGGGATGGGAGAGAGGAGTGTGGGCTGGATGGTCAGGGAAAGCCTCGAGGGGGCTCTGGAGCTAGGCAGGGAGGAGGAAGGAGGGTGTCACCAGCATAGGCTCAGCCCAGTGTGAGGCCCCCAGTCCCTGCTGGGTGTGATCTCAGCTCTGGGAGCCCTGGAGGGCCCCAAGTCCCCAAAAACTCTGTTGGGCCCAGGCTTCAGAACCCCCACGCCACAGATGTGAGCTAGGTTTGGCTCTGGGAAGCAGTTAGGATGGAATGACTGATGGTCCCTCGGTCCCTTGGGGAATGTAGAAGGTCCAGAGCTCTTAGAAGAAGCTGAATTCCTGTTCCCAGAGCCCCAGGTCTGTAGGGGAAGGAAGTCCCACCAGGGCAACAATCCCCTTCAGTCAAGCCCTTCCTGTTCAGGGACACTGAATATCTTTCCCTATATGGCTTCCTCCTCCCCACCTCACTCTTAAATCTCAAAGAAAGAAAGGTGATTGTCATCAGCCCCTCTCGTCATAGGACGAGGTGAATGGCCCTTTCGCCCTCTCAGGAGAGCCCCTGGCCTTAGCCCAACAAGCCCCCAGAATCAGGGACCCTCAATTTATATGACTCCCAAACGAAGTCTCGTGCTGGGTTGCAGGACCACCAGTGTGGGGTGAGCAGTCTCTTGGAGAGCCATCTAAATAGATTTGCAATGCATGGCTTCTTGCTTGCAGTAAGACATAAGGACTCAGGGAAGGAAGAGATTTGGGGCATGAGATGGGATGCCCCACTTAACAGCTATTTGAAGATGACTTGGTCTACGTGGGAGTAAAATAAATGAGGCCATTTCAGGACAACCCCAAATCCCTACTTTAGAACAGTGAAATTAATTATGGTGTATGATACAATTACATAGTAGTGAACAATTATTATGTTTATTTAATGGCATGGGAAAGATGAGGAAAGTGGGTTCCACCAAAATATTACTATGTGTGAATTCTTGCATTACATGTGAATGTTTTTTGATTTGCATTTTCTAATTATCTTTTCTTACCAATTATGTGTATTTATTGTATAATGAATGAAATGACGAACTTGATAAGGGACACTTTGCCCTCTGGAGTTGGCTACAGGAGGCCACCCCAGTGGGGATCTCAAGAGTGTCAGTAGTAGTCGCAGGAGTGGGTCAAGAATGGGCAAGGTTCTGGGAGCTTGAGCCTCTGCTCTGGCTCTGGCACAGTCCTCTGATGTGTCACCTGCCCTCTGTCCTCATCTGGGAAACAGAGGCCCACCATCCATCCTACGCTCACACAGTCAGTTTTCAAACCTCCCCTACTGAGTGGCTTCTGTTCTCAAAGTCCTCTGGAGACTCAAAATATAACCTGTATGCCCCTGTGTTGAGGAGCTTACAGGCCTTCAGAAGGGATGGGACATGTGACACAGACCAAGGCCACAGAGAGAAGACAACAGTGCCCCGGGAGCTCAAGCAAAGAGCAAAGTGGAATTGGCATATATGGCCCACCTCGCAGGACCACTCCCACGCCCCTCCCCTCTGGCAGCAGTGCATTACTGAGCATGAGAGCAGCTCCTCTGAGAAGAGTGCTAGTAAACACGGCCCCTGTGAGGACAGACAGGCGTCCTGCCCCCGGCCCCCATGCCACCAGGCACTGCCTCACCTCCCACTTGTTCTCCAAAACCTGAAGCACCAGTTTGTGTCCTCTCTCTAGCAGTCTCTTCTCTGCCTAGAAAGCCTGCCCTGATGCCCACTCACAGAAAACTGTCCTCCACACACTTGCCGACCCTGGCTCTCAGACAAGGGTCTGCCCGCAACTCAGTGGGGCAGCTGCAGAGGAAGGGGGCCGCGCAGTTACTCACAGCAATGGAGACGGCACTGATGACAGCTCCCAGGTAGCCCTGGATGAACTTGGATGCCGGTGAAGGCTGGAAGACAGAGGCAAAGTTCAGGCCCAAAGCTCCCACACTCCACCCTTACAAACAGCACCAGCCAGCAAGCAGCATTCCTGCCCCTCAGCCTGCAAGATCAGATTAGAACAAAGAGGTCCCTCAGGAAGCCAAGTGGATCTGGCTTCCCTCAGCTCAGACCCAAATATGGGGATACAAGGCAGCAGTATTCAGGGCGATACTACAGGGTCCACTTTACTTCTGCCCTGTTCTAGAAGTTCACTGACAGACAGTACTGGCTGGAGGTAGAAAACGGGATGGGCCAAGTGGACCATTATGGCTGGGGCAAGCAGTCTGCAGTGGGGGAGTGCTAAATTGCAGCTGGGCTGCTTGGCCCCTGAGCACTCTCCAAGGGAAGATGACAGGGTCAAAGCTAGCTGTTCTCATAGGTCTGACCAGCCCATGCAGCAGCTGGGCTTCTATGTCAATAGATGCTAATTGCCCAGTATTTCTATAGAAAAATATATCCCAAGTTCCAACATAGAAAATTAAGATAAAGCTAAGGAAATTGACCTTCACTACAATTGCAATTTTGGAGATATTTCGTTTAAGGTAAATGGGAGCCAGCCAAGCAGAGATGTGCATGTGTGAAGCCTAGGCAGAGATTTAGATAGCGGGGGACCTCGAAGTATCAGGCTCTTCAAGTCCCTACTGCCCAGGCCAGCTCCTAACTCCCCCATCGCTCCCCTAAGTTTAGAAAATGCCAAGACTCTCCCTTACCCCAAACTGGCAGCCCCCCAAAGGGAACCTAGACTCCTCCTCCCCTCCCTTTGCCTTTGGACTGAAGTGGGGAAGAACGGACCAGAGGGAGAGGTGGCCTTGCCAGCAAAGCGGCCGAGCAGAAGGGCCCTTCCTCAACAACAGAAGGGTGACTGGGCCTCCACCATGAGCTTGTCCCAGGAGTGCAGGGGACTTTGGGGGAGGAGGCGCCTCTCTTCTCAGACCCTCATCCTCAGGAGCAGCCCTTCAGCTTTGTGGCCAGCATTTGGGAGCTGGGGACATTGAAGCAGCTTCCAGGAGGAAGCTCTAGGGGAATTTGTCCCCAAGTGTCTAAAACAGTCCTGATCCAAGAGCCAGGTGTAGGAGCTGCCCAAGAAGAATTCTGAAGCCAGCAGAGCCCATCCCTTGCACTGCCCCCCACCCCCCTTTTATGGACCTTTTTCACTCCCCAGAGGGGCCCCTGACTGAGTCTCCTGCTGACCTCAGCCAAGCAAGGTCTGAGTTTGCCCCCACCCCTGACTCCCAAAGGATTGGCAGTTTAAATAAGGTGCCTAGAGGAGGGCAGTGTTTAACCCAGAAGAGGCAGCCACTGATGGTGGCATGTCACACAATAGGGAGGACGACTAGGGCATCCCAGCCTGAACCCCACCACTGGGTGGGGGCAGTGGCACTCACCTTGGTAGCATTGCGGTTTGCATAGTTGACACAGGCGTTGTGGCTCTGGTTCAGCCACTGAAAGGCAATGGGGAGAGAAGTGAGGGAAGGTGTGGTCACCTCCCCTGAAGCCAAGCCTGGCTCTGGGAGGCCACACACCCCCAGAAAGACACAGCATGCTATCTCCAGCTCATAGATGGTCCCGTCCATCCCACTAGTTAGTATGACCAACTGTACCAGTTTGCCTAGGACTGTGCCAGTTTTAGCACTAAAAGTCCGAATCTCAGGAAACCCCTCAGTTCCTGGCAAGCCAGGATGTGGTCCTGCCCACCCAGGAGTCAACCTGGTCCAGAGACAGTCCCTTCTCCTGGAATTATGGCGTGCACTGCCTCAACAGGCCCCAGTGCCTTTGCCACCTCATCCTTACTATATTACTTGCTGGACAGAAGATGGACATTTCGGCCCTAGCGTGACTGACAATCCTGCCCCTCTTTCAGAATCTCCCTGTCCCATGTCCTGCACCACCTCCAGCACCCTGACACAGATGCTCAGGGGTTTTGTTCAGGGAAGACTCTCTGACATTCTCTCTTGGAAGACAGACAGGTTTTTCTTCCTGCCCCTCCTTCTCTGCTCATACACAGAGACATCCTCAGCTATTTTCGGGGAGCCACAACCATTCTGTCTCCAGGAGCAGACCAGGGTCTGTGACACACTTCCCTGCCTCAGGGTTAGGGCAGATCCACCTTCCCTACAGATGTGGGTGAGGCTGATGTAAAAGTCAGGCTGTGGCCTCAGGGTCACTGGCCATGGCATTAGCAGCCAAGGGGCAGAGTGGGCAGTCACCAGCAAGCAATCACATTGCAGGCGAGGGTGCCCGGCCCAGGCCTCCTCACCTCTGTTCAAAGGTTAGCGTGACACATGAAGGCCTGAGACACGCTGGGCTGCTGGGGACCTGCTCAGTGAGGCCAAAGTCCTGGTTTTTCTGCCAGTGGCTTTTGGGCTGTAGGAGGGGCGGGGGTGGGGTGACTCTACCACAGTGGCCTGGACCAGATGGGAGAGGCAGAGGCAATGGCAGGGAGTTTGTAACCAGCACTCGCTTGGGCCCTTCCTTGGGGAGCCTCTGTTTGCCAGGTAACTTACCTGCCAGAAGACAGTGGATGCCAGTGTCTGGTTGGGCAGGAGAAGACCAACCACCTACGGAAGAGGGAGAGAGAGAGGAGAGGCTGAAGAAGGCAAAAGAAAACATCGTACAAAGAAAACAAAGAAAAATTACACAGCCACAAACAAGAGCAAGCCGGATCTGGACAAACCGATTTGGTAGAGTGTGTGCACACAAGCTGAGGCCCACGGTGAGATGGCGCACGACAGGACAAAGTCAAGGTGCAGAATTATATTACAGCATAACCCCATGTATGTAAGAAAAAAAAATCTCATTTTATATATAACCATATACACAAACACATGTACACACACATATCTCCAAGCATGAAAAAATCTGTAGCACAGCATGTGGACTGTTAACAGTGGATATCTCTGGAGGTCAGGCTATAGGCTACTGTCAGGCATTCTTCTTAAATATTTCTGTATTCTTTTAAACAATAAACGTGCATCATTTCCATAATGGGGGGTGGGTGGGCAGTAAAAACAAACAAGCAAACAAAAGGAGCACCTTCATGTTCACACAGGTTACCTGCCTCCTCTGGGCCCGAACCATCCCGTAGGATTTTTGTGAAGATTAAATAAAAATCTTTTCAAAGGCCTTAAGTGCTTTATAAACACAAGTTGGGGGGATTTATATGTTTTCTCTGAATCTCCATGAAGCAAAACCCTACACCATGTGTAAGCCACTGAATGGAGCCTAGCTGTCTAATAAATTACCTGCTGAATGAGTGAATGAGTGAAGAAACGAAGGAATGCGCACACGTGGCTGTGTACGGTTACACAGGTGCGAGTCCTTACTCCCAGAGCCCAAATATCACCTAAGACCTAGACTCTCTGACTGTTTTTTTGGTTTAAGTAAAGATTAACTGTCTGATCTTGACACTGGCCAAGTCTTGGACTTCAGGAATCCACGTGCGTATCTCAAGTTTACCTTTTGAGTGTTTGTGTGCAAAATAACATCTACCAAGTACCACTGCATATGGGGAAAATATGCACAACCATCCACATATTGACTTATTTATTATTCCTGTAGATAAAATGGCTCTTTGGCAAGAATTTCTGTAAAGAACAAGTATAAACATTCAATACTATGCAGTAAATCAAATTCTAGACATCCTCAGCAGCATTAGTAAATCATGTTTTAAACATTAAAATGTTTTAAAACAGCGAACACACACCACGCACATTTATATTTATTGGCCCATATCAGTTTGAATAAAATTATATAATGTAAAGCTATTTCATAGCTCCAGTGAGGAATTATCTCATAAGTGTTTTCTCCCAGAATGAGATCCCAGCTTAGTTTTTCTTTGCAGCTTAGGGAACTGGAGTGAGATTCAAGAGACCTTAGGGTCTTAGCCCTCCTCTGTCCCTGTGTGATCTCTGGTGGAAGATGATTCCCTCTGGGGCTCCAGCTTTCTTACCTATAAAGTGAAGGGGTTGTCTTTGGAGCTCCTACCTCCTAGTTGGGGTCCCCAGTCAGGAGCCAGACCACAGAGAGGAAGCTGAGCTTCGAGGAGGGGTGGGGGCAGGCAAGTTTGTGTGCACGTGTGTGTAAAAGTGTGCATGCCTGACTGCCTCCCAAAGCCTGAGGAAATTAAAGCTGCTCACTGTTTGAAGCTCAGCATCTCGTTCCCCCAATCGGTAGTTTATATAACATGGTGTGCTACAGACTACATTTTCTTCTCCTCCTGTCTCTGCACCCCCTGAACTGTGCTTGGGCCACCAGCAACATCATAAGATACAGCTGCATGGGACTTAATATCTACCAGGCCATTGTTGTCCAGGATACTGCTCATTATGCCACATGGTCCCTTTACCAATCCTCTTAGGGAAATTTGTTTCTGGTCTCAGAGTCAGAAATTGTACTCTGAGCAATTTTGCATCTGTCTTGCAGACACTGGGCCATTTAACTATGTCTGTCTTTGCACTGACTGTTAAGAGGCTTAGGCCAAGGCCCGGCCCATGGCTCACTTCAGAGAGCGTGGTGCTGAAAACACCAAGTCAAGGGTTAAGATCCCCTTACCGGTCATCTTTTTTTTTAAAAAAAAAAGAGGCTTAGGCTCTCCATGGCCACATCTGCCAAGCGTACAAAGCCACAGTGCATGTGTCCTGTGCCCACATCTCGCCCCTGGCTTCCTCTTATCTTCCCTTCCTGAACCTTCCTTTTGTCTCATTTTCATCTTCACTTGTCTTACCTCGTAGAATGCATTTTTAAAGTGATATCAAATCTTTTCCAGAACAAATCACAGCCCTAAACTAAATTAAACTAGTACCCAAGCAATGTAACACATATGCACACACACAAACACACACTGCACATGGCTCTGAGCTTTTCACTTTGTTGGGCAACCCCTACCTCCTGTCCCAACCTCCCACCCTAACCTGGTTTCCATGCTGGCACCTCTGACTGTTATAACAAATATCCTCGTGCTTTTTAAAAGAGATTGATTTTGTCAAGTATTCCCCATATGTCAGTTACCATAATCTTCATAAAAACTCTGGGATCAGACAAAATAGAGTACCTTCCATATTTTGCGAATGGAGAAACTGAGGCTTAGAGAAATTCAGTGATCTGTCCAAGGCTTTGTAGCAAGCTAAAAAAAGAGTCAGACCTCCTGATTCCTGGCTTGGGGCCCTGACTCTCTGGTTTGTTTTTTTTTTCTTTTGGCAGCTGGCCAGCATGGGGATCCTAACTCTGATTTTAGGGTGCTCCTTCTCCAGCTCATCTTCCTGAGCACAAAGGAAGAGGGATTCAGTCAACACTTCATGTCCATTTATGGAGTATCTTCTATGTACCAAGTCCCATGCTGCTCCCAAAGGAGAATACCAGAAGAGAGAAATATATGGTAGCCAACCACAATAAACACAAAGACCAAATAAGAAAATGTATGAGAATGTTCTTTATGACACCTAGGCATGAAAATGATAAGATGGTTTAATGAGGTACTTGGGTGTGTATAAAGCTGATAAATTCTAACACTCAAATAGGAGTTCAGGAAGGGAGAGGTCAGCGTGCCCTGCCTATCAGCTGAGGGAAGAGGTAGGATTGAGCTGAGGGTGTGTGTGTGTGTGTGTGTGTGTGTGTGTACACATGGGAGTAGGGACAGGCCAGACAGCTGAGAGACTGGCCTGACTGAGGAAGAAGTTCAGGAGATCAGTAGAAGGGAATCTGGAGAGGGTGAGGCCAGAAGACAGGGAACACCAAGCTGCATTGGCCAAATGGGGCCCTAGGGAGCCATATGAGGCTGAGGCAGGGAGCAGGGGTCTTGCCCTCCACGTACTTACAGTCAGGTTTGTGGGGACCAGAAGCATGCGGATGCCAGTCCCATTCCCTATTAGGCAAAATGCAGCACCATCTGCACAATCCCAGGAGCAAGAGCAGATATTTTATAACTTCCTTTTTTCTTTTTAAGTCTAAATTAAAAATAAATGTTCCCTTCAGCTCTCAGATGTATATCTCTGGTGCAACCTGCCCACATTCCCTCCCGCTGCCCTTTCCAGAACATGGCAGGAGAAAGGAAGAAAGAGCTGGATAGAGAGAGGGAGCCAGTCCACCCGGCTTCAATGCCAGTGGGTTGCACCTCTTCCAAGAGGGAAACGCTGCAGGCGTGGCCGCGCAGACGGGTGGAGAGAGCCCAGAATGTGGAACAGAGAAGGAGAGGGAAACAGGAGCCAACAGCTAGGATTTCTAGCTCAGCCTCCACTTTTTCTTGCTGCAGGACCTTGGCCAAATCGCACATCCCATCTTTGCTCCCATTTATAGTTGTAACATGGCTGGAGTCCCCTCTGCCACTCCAGTCCCCAGCAGCTGTCCTCTTTGCACATCTGTCTGTTCCTCTGCTGGTCTCCTTCCCCTGGGGTGTCCAGCGATGGACTTCAGTGATTAACACTCAAGCTCTTGTCATCAAATGCTAGAGCCAGCATTTACCAGCTGTGTGACCGCAGGCAAGTTACTTGAGCTCTTTGTGCCTCCATTTCTTCATCTGTTAAATGGGGGACAATCCTGGCACCTCTTAGAAAAGTCGTGAGAGGAAGAAAGGCCTGGAAAGAATCTGGCTTACTGCCCAGCATGCAGTAAGTGCTCACTAGACGTTAGCCACTCATGTCATTCCTCTCCTCCTGTCTAGTTCTTTTCCAGCCTTTGCTGGTCTCTCCTTTCTCTGAACTCCACAGCCTGCACCACCCGTGAGCATCCTCTCATTTCCACCTCATCTTGGAACACAAGTCTTATCCCTCAAAGGATGGAGCTTCTGAAGGGAGAATTGGGGCTTTTCTCTCTTCTTTCTGATGTCCCCCAAAGCATTCAGCACAAAGCTGGGCCCACACTCCAGGCTGGAACATTGTTAATTCTTTAAGAACATTAAGTAACTATTGGCCAGAGAAAAGACCTCTGCTGGACAGGGCCACCACCACCCAGCCCTTCCTCATTCCTTTTATTAAAGTCCTAAGTGCATGGGGGTGTTGGCCTTTGGGGAGGAGGGATGGGATGAGTTTTGGTCCTGATGCTTCCGCTTCCCATATCCAGCATCCATACCCTTGCCACGCCTCATCATGGGAGGAATGCGTTTCCCTGCTTCTTGGCTTTGCCTGCCCATATAACCTGCTTTGGCCAATGGCACGTGGGAGGAAGTGGCAGTGTGCCAGTTCTGAGCCCAGGCCTCAGAAATCTCATGCTTTTCTTCCTGCCCTCCTATGACTACTCTTCTGGTCCAAGGAGGATGAGAGACGGTAGGAACACAGTCCAGCCCAGGTTGGCCAACTCCAGCTTGACCCACAAGACTGCAGTGAGAAGAACTGCCTCAGTCAAGTCCCATGGACCAGGCAAACCCCAGCCAATTGCAGATCCCTGTGAATGAATACTGATGGACGTTTATTAGCCAGCCCTACAGCAGCGATAGCTAATGCAAGGATTACTGCATATGAAGAGTGACTTTGCTGTCCTTCCCAGTCCAAAACTCTGTACCATTACAAATTCACCTTGAATTATGTCTCCACTAGTGGTGCTGGCTCCTGAGCAGCCTTGCTTATCA